TAGGGCCACGTATGAGGAAGTATGACAATGAAGCCCTGGTGTCATATAAGAAAAAAAACAACCATGCCCAAATCTCTCAGCCACCCCAGCATGAGCTGCATCCATTGCCCACAAATGCTCACACAAATTTATAACTGCTAATTCACAGATGATGCTGATCTAAAATACTTCTAGCTTTCCGCAGCTAAGGAATTAATGTTGGGTGGCTCCCACTATCCCACAAAAAGGGGCATCTGCAGTGGATTGAAAGACCAGTTAACATGCAGCACCAAAGAGATAACATGAACTTCTACAGTTTTTAGCTGGTCACACTTCCAGGGAGCCTCTTAATGGCCATATGTCTGTCTTCAAACCCTTCAGGCTAGAGTAAAATCCAAAGACTCGGGGAGGAATCTCTCAATGGAAATGTCTGTCTACAACAGCCAGCATAATCTAAGTGTAGCTCTTAGCTGCCTACTACAGGTAGTCCTCAGTTAACAGTGGCAATTAGTACTAGAATTGCTGTCACCAAGTGACGCGGTCATAAAGTGGGACAGCATGTGACCACAATGCTTAGCAATGGCAGTTCCGGCAGTCCCACCATTGTTCAGCAAGGATGTCACATGAGCACAACTTCCAACTTCCTGCCAGCTTCTCAACTGAGTTTGTTTAAGGCAGGGGTAGGCAACCTTGGCTCTTTTATGATTCGTGGACTTGCTGGCTCAGGAATTCTGGGAGTTGAAGTCCACGAGTCATAAAAGAGCCAAGGTTGCCTACCCCTGGTCCAATGGATCTTGCATTGAGCAGCATGTTGGACTAGATAGTTTGTAAGATACCTTCCAACTCTGAATCTTTGGTTCCAAAAATGGGAGAGCAAGTATTACATGCCCTCTGCATAAAAGCTGGCTCAGAAATTCTGGGAATTGAAGTCCACGAGTCATAAAAGAGCCAAGGTTGCCTACCCCTGGTTTAAGGGAAGCTGGCAGGGGATGTTGGACATCGGGTAACTGCAGGGATGCTGCAACTGCCAAAACTTCGAAGGCTGTCCTAAATGCTACTTGTTCATCTCTGTCCTAAGTAGGAACGGACACTGAATAAACTGACATAAGCTGAGGACTACCTGTATCAGCACAAGTTTCCACGTGTAGTAATGAGAAGTTCAGGATAAATAACTTGATTCTCTGTGATGTAAATAATGCAGTGCAGAGAAAAAGACCAGCAGTGATAATGTTAAATAACAACATCCTATTTTCTGGAAGATAGGCAAAAACTGTTGCAGCAAAGCACAGCAGTGGAAATTATTTCTAAGTAGACCTGGAAGTCAGGGTAGAAATGAATGGTTTTATTTACCTTTTTCCAGCATTTGGCTGAATCCTGGGGAGAAAACAGATAAAATTAATAAATGTCAAGGATTTAATCAAAAGAATATCAAGAACCTTAATGACTGACAGACCAAATCAGTATCCTGTACACTTTATACACTTATTGTTGTAGCATTGGAAAGCTGGTCAGAGGGGAAATTAAATTCTACTACCTCCTCATTCTAAGAAAAAAGACAGTCTTCTCAGCCAAAGAGATATTCTCTCACTACACCAGTTCCCTACTACTCATCTATCATCATCTACTTCCTGCTAAAAAAAAATAAAAATCTGTTGACTGAGATTTCATTCTTTCTTCCCACGCCAGTTATGCTCTCACCTGAATTTTGTCTGCTGGAACTTTTGGACACCTGGGATTACTCTGTACACNAAAAAGACAGTCTTCTCAGCCAAAGAGATATTCTCTCACTACACCAGTTCCCTACTACTCATCTATCATCATCTACTTCCTGCTAAAAAAAAATAAAAATCTGTTGACTGAGATTTCATTCTTTCTTCCCACGCCAGTTATGCTCTCACCTGAATTTTGTCTGCTGGAACTTTTGGACACCTGGGATTACTCTGTACACCTCATTCAGCTGCGAAGAGCAAGAGAGAGTCATTAGACCAGATCCTCAAGAGAACTAGCCTAATCCCCAATCCCCCATCCCATTCATGTTGGAGGCACCATATAAGGATTAGGATTACCCAGTGACATCACTGTTGCCTGGGGGTTGCCCGTGAGGGCTCCTTTGATGTCCCCATCAAGGAGCTGGAGCAAATGACAGGAGCTCACCCTACCACCCAGTAATGCTCAAGTCTCGAACATCAGCTTGCTAACCTCCAACCCAGTGTCCTAATCATGTGAGCCACCACGTTCCTTAACTACCCCAATAATCATCAAGCTGGTACATAAGGACTGCCACAGCTCATCAGGTGTTCGGTCAAATATTGGTGTTAAAGGCTTCAGGCCCTTCATCTTCTGCCCTTCACTTGATTTATATTCAGGCATCACATCCACAACAGAAGTTGTATGAACACTCAAATCCAAGGAAAGAAACCTTGCACTGGGTTCAATATCTGTGCCTCCTCAGCAAGAAATCTGCATGACGGAGTGTTTGGGGAGGATTCTTTGGTTTATATCTGGTCCTGGCTAGTTGGTCATGTTCGGTGTGGACTTAGGGTCTGTCCAAATCTACCTCTCCCACCTGAAGGAACTATGGTGAGCATACAAAGAGGAGCAAGTCGTACAGATATACACATACACTCATCTTATAACAAGGGAGAGTTAAAAATAGAACAAATACCCCTACTTCTTACATTTTCCTCCACCTCTTTCTGCACGTGCTCATGTTCACGGCTATCCAGTTTTGTAAGATTTTGGGTATAGAGCCGTGTCAATCTGAGAGAGAGCCCATGTGGAACTGGAAATAAGGAAATTAATCCATCAGAATTTGCAGCTGCCAGTCAAGCAATGAGCACAACCAATTAATACAGAAATATAATGGGAAATGATATGGTTCAGCCACAGAGTTTATTTTACACATACCATGTAAACAGTGATTAGAATTCTGAGGCACCTATAATCTTGACATAGAGTTTTGCTGGACTTCAAAAAATTAGAACCTTACATCATAGTCTTACATTAGTTACACAGTGATTCCTTCTCTGCTTCCAAGATAACTGTAGGTAAGAGGAATGATAGGAATTTCTAACAGATCTATCAGCATCATCAGATCAGAAATTCCAGAGACAGTCCAAAAATCAAATTTACATAAAACATATAGATTTGTGGTTCAGTTACATCTAAAAAAAAACCCAATGCAATTGTACCAATGGTCATGAGAGTTCTCTGAAACACGAATACCATCTCAAAAAACAAGTAGATTTTTTTTTTTTGAAACGGCCTTGTATTAAATCCTTTTCTGTTCAGGCAGCTCTATGGAAAAAGGTAGCTTACAAATTACCAGTATCTCAGGTGTGAAAATGTGGATAGAGACCATGGAAGGACTTGGCTTATTATGCCCATTCATTCTGTGACTGTTCAAAGTTATGGCAGCACTGAAAAAAATGGAGGCACAGCCAGTCTCCGATATTCCAGCCAACACAATATGCTTGCAGTCACATAACTGTGAACTGGGTGTTCCAGTGCCCAGCTTATGATTATGACATTGCAGGAAACTGCAATCATACATCGCCATTTGCGACCTTTCCACAAGCAAAGCCCCAGAAGGAAGGTTACAAGTCGGTCAAGTAAGTTGCTCCTGCTTTTTTACTTCCCCATAGTAACCCCCGTGCCCACGCACAGCTTCCACAGCTTCCTTCCAGGCCCTTTCCTGGCTCCTATGACTCATGCAAAGCCTCTGTTGCCCTCCTCAATTCATGCAAGGCCTGCGCCAGTTCTCTGTGGCCTCCTGCAACACACGTGCAGCCTACGCCAGCCTTTGCACGTCCTGCTTTGGCCTCCTGCGGCTCATGTGCTCCTTACCTGGAATGCCCACCTATTCCTGCTTAACAACCCATCCATCTTGGAGTTATGATGGCAACCAGAATTGCCTGGGACTGCTGTCATTAGGCAATGTGAATGTGTGATGTTGTACTTTTCAACCACATTGCTGAATAACTTTAATCCTAGTCTCAATTGCCATTGTAACCAATGGGTCCTAAAAGCAGCAGTTCCTCACATACTTTGGAAAGCTTTAGATGGGTGAGACTATATGACCGCCTAGATCAGGGGTGTCAAACTGCCGGCCCATGGGCCAGATGCATCATAGCGAAACCACGCCCACCCCATTGCTGGCAATGGCAAAAAAGTTGCGATACATTACGAGTTTGACACCCCTAGCCTAGATATTTGAATCAGGTTTCAAACTAGATACTGAAGGAGTAACTATCCCTCTATTGTCACCATTAACTTTAGGAATAAGCTATGTTCCATCTGGCCTCTCTTTTCCGCCTTGTAAAATGAGCACTTACTGATATCTTTGGGATTGAGGGCGAAGGATGAGTAGTCTTGCTTGTGCACATTGTTTCTGATCTTCCAGTGGACTATGTCTCTCCCTTTCAAATTACCGCTGCGCACCATTGGGGTGTCCAGGTGATCTGATGCCATCAGACTCTGTCTGAGCAGATAGTGGTCCTCCTTGAAACCAACCATACGACCTTCAGAGAGGGAAAGAAAGTTAGTATTTGTACTTCAGGACCTTGGATCTAAATAAATACTTCTGTCAAAGGAGAAACACCTTGCTTACATTGTAGCATGATTTTCCTTTACCTTTTCCCAGGTGGACCTCATTTTAATTAGTAACCGGTGTTCAGATTGGTAGCAATAAGTTGTATTATTGTTAATTATTAGATTGGCCATCCATGACTTGAATTCCTAATTCTGTCCCTCATTACTGTTATGTCTTACATCTACTTTACAATCATATATTTTAGCATGTGTTCATAATGTATAGTCCAGAATCATAATACTATTCTAAAATGCATTTCAATTCACCACATGAGGTTTTATGTTTTCTTACGTTCTCTAAATACTGTATAAGGGATTATTTTCTCTCTGCTATTCAGAGAGTTAAATGCATAGATTTTGATCCAGGTTCTCCCAAAAATGAAGAGCTTCAGAGAACAGTGCTTGAAAAGTCCTAATCTTCTTAAGACAGCTACTGCCTAACTGGGTACAGCAGGGGTAGTCAACCTTGGCTCTTTTATGACTCGTAGACTTCAATTCCCAGAATTCCTGAGCCAGCTTACATGAACCATGGTGGTTGTTAAGTGAATCATATGATCATTAAATGAATCCAGTATCCCTCCCCCATTGACTTTGCTTGTCAGAAGCCAGCTGGGAAGGTTGCAAATACAGGTAGTCCTCAACTTACAACCACAATTGACCCCAAAATTTATGTTGCTAAGTGAGAAATTTGTTAAATGAGTTTTGCCCCATTTTACAATTTTTCTTGCCACCTTTGTTAAGTGAATCCCTGCAGTTGTTAAATTAGTAACATGCTTGTTAAGAGAATCTGGTTTCCCCATTGAATTTGGTTGTCCGAAGATTACAAAAGGGGATCACACGACTCTGGGACACTGCAACCATCATAAACATGAATCAGTTGTCAAGCGTCATTTTTTTCAGTGCTGTTGTAACTCCGAACAGTCACTAAACAAACCGTTGTAAGCCGAGGACTACCTGTACTGATCCTATGACCTCATATAAATAGATGCCAATTGACAAGTGCTTAAATTTTGATCACATGACTGTGGGAGGCCACAATGGTTGTAAGTGTGGATACTGGTTGTAAAGTCACTCTTTTCGATGACGTTGTAATTTTGAATGGTTGTTAAATGAATGGTTGTAAGTTAAGGACTGCCTATATTGCTTTCTTTCAGTCTTGATCTAAGCACACCACTCTAATGCTATTATCACCCATAAATTCAAAAGACGTACCTCGTGCACAACAGGGTAGCAACGCCAAACACCTCTAGATGTCAAAAAAAAAACAAAACAGAAAAAATGTGGAATGGGTTTTAATGAAAAGTGCAAAAAATAAATTCACAGAGCTCTCTGCTTGTTGCACTTGTTGAAGTGGATGATACAAAATACATTGTTAAGGAGGATGATAGAGCAAACACAGGCTGCCTCCACTTAAAGACATCCATGAAGTGCAACAAGAGAAGCATATCAACCTGGTTTATATGGCACAGGCACTGAACTAATAGATAAGCCTAATATGACCTTGATCACTTTGGATCAATGATGTAACCGATTATGGCAGTGCATCTTACAAATGCCTTTTCTGCATGCTTATTTCTCAGGCACTTCTCGATATGACTAGTGGTAGAGGATCACTGTCTCTCTTTCTCCATTCATTTTCATTTGCTCCTTGGCATTGATGTTGCAAGGCCATTGTTTCTTTATCTTTCCCACCCCCCAATGCCTTCCAATATATTCCATTCCTAATTCCCAATCATTTTAGTATAAAACAAAATATCTCAAATACATTGGAGAAAAGTGATCTTTTAAAATACTGGAAGTTGAAGAAAGTTAGATCTAGACTCTAGAACAAAAATAATTGTCACCACTTAGTCAATATAAAAACTTCAACTAGAAGCTTACATGGAGAAGACAGAAAATGTATTTACATTGACCTCTAATTTCTACATGATCTGAGAGAAGATTTTGAAAAATCTTCAAATTGTTAGAAAAATGAGTTACAGGTTAGATTCAAAACACGCCGCCAAAGCCCCCCTGCCCGCTTTTCCTTTGTTACTACAGGTTAGAAAGATAAATTTTACCTCGCAACAAACACAGTATTTCCAGCATAGGAGGAGCAGCAACCCCAGGAGTAATATCAGAAAAATGAGTAGGGGTATAAGCCAAAGAAAACTTCCTGGTGGACACTCTACATAATGACAACAAATAAAAAAAACATGTTCCAAACGAATCAAGAGACCAAAGGAAGCAACGTTATCTTTTATTTTCCTGGTTAGGGAAGAGAAGAGGAAAGTGGTATAGCAAATGCAGCAAATGCTGTAACTCAGTGGCAGAACCCATGCATTGCATGTAAAAATTCTGCACCGGCATCTCTAGATAGAGGTAGCCAACTGAAAACTTTCAGAATTCCTGTCAGTTCACGAAGACCAGGCTTCTAGAGTCCGGATTTCAACTCCAAAAGAGTTGGATTACAATCTCACCATCATAGTGATCTCACTAATGCATAGTGATGTTGTGTGCAGACAATAAATTTTGTATTCTAAAATTTCTGGAGAGATTAATTTAGAGCAGCAGAGTTTTTAGACTAATTGAGTTGACTTTATTTACTGAAACTTCAGGAGCCACTGAAATTTGAGTGATGGCAACTGGACTTATTTTCTTGTTGGTTTGAGACGTTTCGCTGCCCATCCAAGGTTGATGCAGGAATGGGAAAAGACAGTAAGAAAAGTGACAGACTACAGGAATCACCTATGCTTCAACCTAGTTGGTACATTCTATCTTCTATCTTCTCACTTGCTCAGACTGAAGAAGCTGCTTGGATGGGCAGCAAAATCTCTCAAACCAACAAGAAAATAAGTCCAGTTGCCAGACACTTTACCTGAATCTTCATTGACATCCAGGAGCCATTACTGACTGCAGAATGAAAGAAAAGCATGCCTGCAAACACTCTTTGAATCAAGGGGTTTGTTTCCAGGATCAGAAGTCAGCTGAGATGTCTTCTTCACATAAAGTCCACTCCTGGTCACTTCAAGCTTTCCTTGTTTCAGCAGCCCAATTTATTTATTTTTTAAAAAATAATTTGTTGTTGCTTTTGCTAAAAGGTGAAGTTAGGTATCTTTGCCAATCAATTATGAGAAAACTACTAGTAGATCCTGATCTACCATGATGCAACCCCATTGGTGTAAACAAGAAAATACTGACCAACAGAGTTTCAAAAACAAATGAAAAACTAGTTTACAGTGCCTATTGAAATCTAAATAATAGACCTTCTAATTTATCTCACTTGCTACATTTTGGGAACCCACTCTGCCAGAAATTCTTTTTTATATAAACCACCACAGAGCAAACAAAGAGTACAGTCACCATGTGCTTTACTGTTCAACTATTGTACTATAACAGGAAACAGGAAACTCTCAGAACAAAAAGAAACCATAGATTATAACCATAGATGCACTGCCATCTACTGGCTGAATAATTCTGTAGTTGTTGCAATACAAAATACATTCTAACATGTATTCCAACATACTCTCTTCATAGAAAGTTAATATTTACCTTTCTTCTTTTGCACAAGAACAGTATTGTTCTGTGATTGATTGGTGTCTTCTTCCCTAGTGTAATGGTAAATGCAATCATCTTCCTCATCTTGAAAGGTACACTTGTGACCTGCAGATTAAAAAAAAAAATCAGATGTAATATTGCCAATTTATGTTGTAAATTCTACTGTTGGCAACAGAAAAGGGAGAAGTTCTTATTTTTCCATTTGAGGCCATTCCAAACAAGCACCTTCAGAGTCTGAGTGATTCAATTTTCCAACAGTAAGGGGAAAGAAGCTATCTTAATTTCAAAAGCCTGAACTAAAGGAGATAAGCCTGAATCAACAAGAAGGAATTAAGTTCCAGGACTTTCAATGCAGCTCATCCAAATGTGGCTAATTCAACCCACTATATATCATTGTCATATAATACATTACATTAGAATATCTGCAATATGTATATAGTCATGAGGCAACTCTATTCAGCATGTTTAGATGTGTCTGTGCAAAAGGAGAAGAGGAAAGCTAATTCGTATGGTATAGCATTTCATGGCTGTATCCTTAGTCTTTGCTCAGTTTATTGGGGGTATAAAAACGCAGTCTTATCAGTAATCACTGATCATTTTCTTATAAGTAGATTATAGTATATTATATTGCTACCCAGCCATTACTGTGACAACAAATCATTAATGAAAATAATATACTTTAGGTGTCACTTGTGAGATGCTATAAATCACTAGTGAGATAAGGTCCACTGAGCAGCATGTTTCCACTAAAATGTGATATGTTCACATAATAAGGAAACAGATTTAAACAGCTTATCTTTGCCAACCACTTCTTGCAACTTCAATTGTGATGTAATGAATATGCTGTGTAACATTGGGAATCAGTTCATTCTTCAGTGTTGCATACATGAAAATAGAAACATCCCTGGATTCTTCCTGCCTTCCCCATCCATAATAGATTACTTTGCTTTTAATCAATGTTTTGCATTCTGAAATGGTCTGTGCTCCCTGATATGGATGACAAAGTGTATCTTTTTAATTTTGACTATACTGTATTTTAGAAAGACATAATTAAATATATGCTGCTATCAGATTTCAAAAGAAGAGTGAAGTGTATGTAGGTTTATACCTTACTTGGTGATTTACTGTCTGGGTA